ATTTTCATTAGATTATCACTTTTCATCACAGCAATACAAAAAGAACGCGAAACAGAATATTTGCAGCAATCTATAACAGAACCTACTTATTTCCTATTTGCAAATTATGTTCAATAGTGTTTGTTTAGAGGTATTGTCAATACTTCAAAGTATTGTACATACTTTGAAATATATTTGAAGTATGTGCAACCATCTCAGCTTTTATTTCAAAGAACTAACGGCTCAAGAATTAAAATTGAACACATCTAGCCATAAACCAATATTTCAGCAGCAAGTCACAGAGATTTTCAAAACTGATCTGCTGAAATTGTTAAAGATGAAAAGTTGTGTGCAAAATCAAGAATGAATCAACATTTCCAATAGAAATGAAAAGTGCCAATTTGAAATCAGATATTATAATTGGCATCCAGTATTTTCAACTCACCTTAAAGAAATTTCTTTTCACAAAGGGAAAATTAACCATAAATGGATCCCTTCTGTAGTTCTCAAGCAGCTTGTGTTCATTGACAACATCTATTGTGTGCCATGCTGTGTTATTTCTATTCTATAGGAAAGCATTTCTGTTAGAAATTAATGTTCTATAATTAATTTTTAACTGAAATACTTTTTTATGAACTACCAAAGATATTTGTACCTTCTGTTTAATGTCATATTTGAAAGCACTGGACCCATATGTACTAAACTATGCATACAGTAAAGTTGTGATATCTTTGTTTCCTTATTAAAATATTTATTTTAATTTTCAGATCTGATCTTTCTCATATGGAATTTTATGCTTCATAAATAAATACTATCTGTTATGCCCTATAGCTTCAAACAATTGTCAGTAGAAAAAATGCTTAAAACAGAAGAAAATAAAATATCTGTACTTATTCTAACTCATCTTATATGTTAGTATTATGTGTCACAAGAAATTTTGGTCAGTATATCTCTGTAATTTTTATCTTATTTTTCTTTTGTCCTGTTATTCTGTTATTCCACATTTATTCTCATGTTTACAATTTTATTTCCAATAGTTGGTGCAATTTCCAAAATGCATACATGGACATCTTCATATATTTTTGTGTATCAATTTATTTCTTCCCCCAGCATATCCCAATACCTATATCAGAAAATCACCATGCTGTATTATCCTAAGATAACTGGACTATGTAGTATAATAAGAATTAGAGACAACATATCTGAACGGTACCATATTGGAAAAGGTTGTCATAAAGCATATCTCAAGTAAAACAATAGTCTGGTTCCTATAACATGCTAAATCATAATGTCAGAGGCTACACATCATGCTAAACTACAAACTAAAAACCAATCAATCAGTAAATATTGAATTGCAGTCCAAGACTAGATAATAAATGTTAAAACAACCAAATATAACTCTAAATACAACAAAAACTGATTAAGTAAATCACTTACTTCTATTGTTGGTCTGAACATAGCAAAGCCTTATTGTTTTGGGAAACAATTTAGCCAGGTGTGAATTCAGGAAGTTTAGCTTGTAGGTGAAGTACTATAGAAAAGGCTATATAACAACAACAAATTTTATTGGATAAAACAGAGATGCAGATTTGAGTATAGAATAGGAATTCAAACAAGATGCTGGATTACAAAAATGATATGAAAAAAGATGCTGTAATGTGAAAATGGATTTCAAAATGCCAGAGTATAAGAGTGATATGGAAAAAGATGATAAAATGATTTACAAATAAGCTCAGCTGATGTCTTAATAATTAAAGATACATACAAATAATACATAATAATAATAATAATAATAATAATAATAATAATAATAATAATAATAATAATAATAATAATAATAATAATAATAATAATAATAATAATAATAATAATAATAATAATAATAATAATAATAATAATAAAGAGAAATGTGGAAGGGCTTCTTATCTCAGATTTCTAAAAGGAATATATGAAACAAAGGAAACTGTTTCTGAGAGGAGATAAAGAGAAAATGATAAGAAATCAACCTGTGGGACATTACTTAATGGGAATAAGGATGAAACTTTTTAAAAGTAAACAGAATATGTACAAAGCAAATTGATTTGATCAGGGTTAAAATATATAAGTTGTGGTTTCTGGTAGTTATTAATGGGATTTCTTTTTGACCAGGATTGAATGATGAGGCTGTAAGGATCTCTTTATAAGTTGAAAGACTTTTCACTTTGTTTCTTAGAGAACAATATTAGATTTCAAAAGGGATTTTTTTGATTAAGGTTAAAATAGGTGTGTTAATATTTCTGATATCTCTTAATAGACTTTTGCTGATTAGAACTGAATGATGAGTTTTTATTATTTGTTTAATGCCTAAGATATGGGAAGAAGAGGATTTTTTAACTGAAATACAAGGAAAGGTGTTAAGTTACTGAAATTGTTTATACTTGTCTAGAGCAGGGGTGTCAAACTGCCGGCCCGTGGAAGCCATGCCCACCCCATTGCCGGCAATGGCAAAACCAGCCCAATACGTTGCGCGACTACACATGACATCGCGAGTTTGACATGCCTGGTCTAGAGGGAGAGGGGAACCATCTTTTATATATTTGATTTTTCTCTTCTTTTTTCAATCACTTTCACTTTTTCTTTTCTTTTTATATTTTCCTTAGTTTGTATTAGTCTTTTATCTTTGTATTTGCAAACTTCAATAAAATTGTTGTAAAAATAATAAAATAATGTGTGAACTCCACCCATACAGTATATTCAGGTTTATATAACCATAAATAGACTCATCATACAAATACAGTATAACCAATGTGGTTTGGTAAAGAAATAATGGCACATTTTGGCCAAAGATACAAACTCACATTTTATCAGAGTAAATCAATAGTACAATTGTATTACAAAGCTGATGAAATTCTCATAGATATTCCTCAAGATTTCTTCGTTTATTACAGCCTTGCAAATAAACCAAGACAAAAAAAATATTAGCTTGCTCTTTACTCATATGAATGCCAAAAGAATGGCTCTTTATAAAAAGTAGACTAATAAAAATGTTCTGTCTCCCCAGCCTGGCAATATGGAAATAGTATTATGTCAAGGTGACCTTTTTTCAGCTGCTCACTAATGCTTCTGTCCCAACATTTTTAAGACTTTTCAGATGAAAGAACACCTGAGTTTTGTTGTGGATTCAGACTAAAAATGCTAGGAAATCTAAGGGAATCTTAAGATGAGAATTCTAGGAAGTTATTAATCAAAATAAATGGAATTCAGAATGGAAACATTTTTAGGTTTGGAAGGTCCCCTGAGAGCTGCAGAAAAAAACAAGTGCTGGCTTTTTAAAGAAGCAAATTCAATTCTGTGGTTCTGAGAAGGATTATTCTGCCCAAAATATAAAAATCTACCTATTGCTTCAGAGTTGTATTGGGCTTATTTGTCTCTTTCTTTACAGTTCCTTAGGATTCCTGCTGGATCACCTGTCATAACTCTTAATAAACATCATTCAAGAATCCCTAAAGCCAAGGGTACTGTCCAGGGTACTGAACCTTTCCCATCTAGTTACAAAACTTTGTGTGTGTGTGTGTGTGTGTCCCAAGTTTATTATTTTTCTAAACAATTCAAAGAGACAAACATGTCTAATAGTCCTTCATAGTCTTATTTTCCCACAACAACTTTGTAAGGTGGGTTGGGCTGAGAGAGGCTGACCGACCCAAAGTTACCTTTCATGCCTAAAATAGGCCTCAAATACACAATTTCCTGGTACCTATTTTGGTGTCTTAGCCACCAGTCCAAACTAGTTGTATTGTTCCCTCTTTCCTGAGCTATTGCCACAAAATCATGGAAATGAAGTTATTGTATCAGAATGAAGTAAACAGTCCGTGATTCTGCCAAATTTAGTAGACATAGGACTTTACAATGAGGGAATTAAAAGCTCCTATCTCTACTCTAATCATTCAAGTTCTGCCAACTTCCTGTGGCTAAACAGGACAGAAAAAAAATCAATACTGTGATGAAGTTGTATTTCAGATAATCTTGTCCCCATTATTGTCTCATCTCATTAGGCTTATTACCAAATCAGAAGCACTATACTGATAGCAGAGCCTTAAAACAGCTCTTGTATTAGAGCTGAGGGATGCTCATTTTCTACTGAGGACTGATTTCCCAGAGGATAAATTTCTTTATAGTGACATCACATGTTAAAAGGGTGTAGGGCTGAAACAGGAACTAGAATAAAAAATAGTGGGAGTATCATTCTCTCCTTTTTTTGAAATCCATTTTCTTTTCCTTATTTTCTACTGCAGGCCAAGATAAAATATGTTGCTTTAGCAAGAGGCTAGAAGTGTTTCTTTCAAAGAGTTTTTGCCAGGTGCCACAAAAAAATAGCTAAAATATCACATGTAGTTATAGTAGCAGGACTGGAGGTGATTGCAACCACCTTCAAATCATATACTCTGAAATGACCATTGGTTTATCTGTGAGTGGCAACAATCCCTAGGAAGTTAGCTATTAATTTTCCTACAGTACTTCAAACAATTGATACTGCATCTTGTCATGGAATTTGAAAAATCAAGGCTTGTTTGCAAGCAAGCATTTCCTGGGAAGCAGTGAACTAAGTCATTAGTTTGAGACTGCTAGAATGTTGAGCTTGCTGTCTAACTAGAGATGATTTTATCAGATTACATTGTCAAACCTTTTTTCATTTTACAACTGAAATGAAGTTTATTTCTGCACTCCTTAGACATGTTCTGCAAAGAGGAAGTAATTGGGAAATGTAGCTGAACAGTAATAGTAAACAATATTATTTACCTATTGCTATATTGCTCAATATAAATCTGAAAGGTGAGGAAAGTGTTGACATTTCCACAGAAACGAAGGGGAGGGTGAAAATTCCACACATGGCCAGACAACACTCCAGTGAACATTAAAGACTGGTGGTAATTTATGATGAAAATGCAGATGTAGCTTTTAGCAGAATGGAGATAGAGAATTTTGGTCCCTTCCTTGGACATCAATTGGCAAGTAGGAAAATCAATGGAGTAGTTGAGAAAGAAGAAAGAGAAGCTAAAAATGAAGAAGGTTTGAGTAATTGGTTGCAATGCCACAGTAAACAGCAAATAGAAATCTCTCTAACAGTGAGCAGGAAAGGAAGTGTGAGTATAAAACCAATATTTATATAGTCCATTTAATTTAAAGGAATGATTGTGTGCTTAGGCTAAATGCTGTTGGTGACACTGCTGTTACTATATTATTACCCTACAGTTGGGAATACACCTTGGATGGTTTTATGGAGAACAAGACATTTATCTTGACCTCTGTTTCTCTAATATATCTCCTAGCCTTGTAGCCATTGCTGTGAGCCTTTGTTTAGCAATCTTGAGGGCTTAAAATAGAGTCAGGCCCGTGTATTTTTTCAGTAGTCAAGTCTTATCTTCATACCTTTCTGTAATTCCACCAGTTACTAACCACTCTCTGAGTTGCCTTATCTTAGCCTCCAACCTCATTTTCTGGAGAGGTTTGTACTGCTGTTCTTCTTTATTGTGTGGTTAAGCATATCCAGAATGACAGCAGCTGTAATGTATTGGTTTAAGTTATTGTGGCAGTAGGGATTGTTGTGAGGGCATCTGATGGTACTTCTCTACTGACTCTTGGTAACTGGTCTCGTGGGTTGATTGTAGCTAGCTTATCTATGATCTTATGCCTCATATCAGCTGTTGTACTCTGTAATGGAGATGGTGCTAGTGATGTTCCAACTTCAGGGGTTGGCTGTACATCAGTTGTTCTTCTTGAATATGGGATGTAATGTGTAGTAGGTCTATCTCAAGTTGTGAGAGTATCTTCCTCTTCACTATGTTGAAGCATTTGGTAACTAGCTGTTTCTCAGAGTGTGGATGCACGTTTTCTCTCCTCCATAGTTGCCTCATACATTTCATATATCCCCTCTCATTAGGTCTACTATTATAGTGGCATTCCGTCACTTTTGGGTTCTCTTGTCCATGAATAGCTTGATCCAATAGCTCATTTATCATCACACTGTCCTGGTTCCTAGACATCAGATGCAAATCTTGTTAATCACGGTGACATCCAATTATGTAACTCTCCTATTTTGATATACGTCAATGAAGCGTTAGGGGGTTCTACCCAAGGAGAAGTAAGATAGGTTAGATTGAACCCCACTCTCCCACACTGAAGGCAGCCTTCTAACCATACCCTATCCAGCTGCATATTATATGTACATATGTCTATGTATACAGGTGTGTGTGTGTGTGTGTGTGTGTGTGTGCCTTCTTACCCTTATGTGTGTATACTCCCTTCTTACCCTTACACTGTATCTTCCTCAATTTCAGGTCCTCTATCAGATTCTGTGCAGGATCTTAGCTGTTCCTAACACTGTACTCTTCTGGACAGACAGCTCTGATTTTGTCACTCCTGGGATCTGTTGGAGCTTCTCCCACTTAGGATTCATAGTCTGAGTGTTCCTACCACCACTAAAACTACTTTGGCCTTTACTTTTACATCCTTTCCTGTTCCTCCATCAGGCCCTGTCACTTCTCCAGTTTCTCATACTTCTATCTTCCTGTTGTTGCTACATCTATCACCAGTGCTATCTTTGGGTCTTTACCTGCTACCACAATGTCTCATTGATTGTCAGTACCTGCTTGTCTGTCTGGAACTGGATCTGGAAATGCCACAGGACCATAGCCCTCTTATTTTCTTCTTCTGTGGAATCTCCCATCAAGACTTAGGACAGCCCAGTCCATATTCGTACAGGTGTTCCTGTACACAAGGCCAGCTACTTGGTTGTGCCATTCAGTGTATGCTGTTTCTGCTTCCCACTATATGCAGAGACAGCCCAACATGGAAGGGTGTAAGATATATATAGAGAGAGTTAATGGGAAACAATTGTAGATATCATGCACAATAATGAGAACAAGAGTAGTCTGGGCAGCTCTATATTTGCCTCTCTTTTCATCCAATTTACAAAGAAAATTTGCATTAAGTTTATAAGCAAAGAAAGAAAGTAGTATAGTAAGAGCAATTTCTTCTCTCCCAAGTTGGACATTCCAAGTACTCCTGGATTTTTTTTCCAAACAGACAGCAACAGCAAGAATTATTTGCTCTCCAATTACTGCTCAGATTTGAGTTTGTAGCATGCTTTAAAACAACTCCAGTGATGCTTCATCTAGATGTTCAGTGAAGGCCATTACCACTTTACTTATTCTGAAATTATAGGCTTTTCTCATGAAGTTTATTTTATTGCTCACCATAATAATCTTGTCCTGTCCTGTCCTTTCCATAGAAACTCATTACTTTCATTATATGAAAATGGCATTGTAGCACCGCAGTGTAAATTCCACCCTTTGGGGACATGACACATGTTCCAAAGAGGCAGCCCTAAAGCTGTTGATGTCATTCTGACATCCCATTTCCCTGCAGATATTGATTTTTACTTTATTCTTTTCTGTGCCAAAATATATGCCAGACAACAAACAAACATCTTGTAGACAACCCAAACTTAGAGACAAATGTACACATTTCCCAGATACCCAATCTCCTGCCATGCTATAGAATTGGACAGAGTGGGCATACTCCAAATCCCATTAGTCAAACAATGGGACCCAGGAAATAGGCACCTGACCTCTGGAATAGCATCCCAAAAGAGTTCTATATAACCAAGATCCTACCTGTTAAAAATCCTTGTGGTTTCCTTGGTTTCCTTGTGAAGTGGCTTGTTTCATGTGAATAAAGACTGTATTTGTGCCTGAAGCTTGAAAGTAATACCATTACTGTTTCCCCATACAAAGGGAAAGGTAATAAGAGTAAGTGTGCCTGGGGAGGTATTTGGCAAAATTCTGTCTGACAAAGTTGAAAAAGTGACAACGAAACAGAAGTTGGGGAGTTGAATGCTGCACTGTGTTGGGCAGGAATCTGGACCCACATTTTTGGGTTAGGTTACTTCATCTGGTACTGGATCACCAGGCAAATGATTAAATCATGGTGGTATCAGATCCAGGCATATCATATTGTTTGAGGGTATATTTTACTTAGTGAAAATACAGAAAATGTTTAGACAAAAAAACCTTGATTAGATAGATCTGATGCACCTGCTGCTTTATTGCCTTTTTAAAATAAAGAACTAAATATGTAATATATTCACAATTTCATAATTAAGCATCAGCTTCATATTAGTCACCAGTAACTTGTTTTCTAGATGACTCATCTACTGTACTAGATAAATCTAAGAACTCAGATATCATGATACATGTCTGTTCTAGTTTTGGACTTTAAAATGTACAATAACCTATTTCTATCATCAATACCAACATCGCCATCATTATAATCTTACAGATGACGACCTAATGTAATCAAGCATTTAAATAGTTTTCTTGAAACATCAACAAAGATCTGACAGAGATGCCATATAACTAAAACTAATCTAAAACAAGGAAAAAAAGAATCTGCTAATATTTGGAAGTGGGAAGTACAGCATTGTTCACATTTTAACATTATGTGTAATGTTAACATATATGTCATATAGAACTGTATATATCATGTACTGTATCCCTGTCAATAAGGTATATTCATTAAAGATCACATTATCTTCAGGTTAAATTTTTCACTTCGCAAATGTGACATTGTCTTATAAAGAGAATTTTGTGAAATACATTTTTCACTACTGGCTACTGTTATAAGGCACAATTTTGGTTTCATTTTATTCCACCAAGCATTCTGCTACCAGCAAACTGAATAAAGCATTAATCCTCACATATGCTGCTGCCTGCCCAGTAGTATGAAAGTAATCTGTCAATCTTCTTCACTGGATCCAATTTTCCTGAAACGCGTATGTAATTGCAGCCTGTTTTTATATAAATCTGTGTCTTACATTAAACATTTATGCTATATATACAATGGGCAGAAAACACAGGGCTATGTACAACTCTAATGAAAGATTAATTGCAATGCAATCGTATTAAGTTTACAGTAAGTGTAATGAGAAGACAGAAAAGGGGGCAAGGTTCTTTGGTATAAACCTAGGTTCAAACCATTTCTGATAGCTAATTATATAAAAGAGGATATAGTATTGTTATGTCCTGGGAAGCTTATCGCTAATGGTGAAAATATATAGTTTTGTGCAGCAAACAGATGGACAAGGAAGCATCTAGTGATGTGTGCAGCTCAGTCCAAATGGAGCTAGAAGAGATATCCGGCAAAATAGCAGATCTAGACAAGTGGAGAAAGATTTTCAGTGTTCATGGGTAAGGTTTTTTTTTTCTCTATAATTTTATGAGTACTAAAAATTAGATTGCTTAAATGTCAAGTTTTTATGAAATAAGACCCACATAATTTATGAAGATTTTTTTATAAACGTGTTAAGGACTGGAACGTTCCCTATGTACTTCTATGACTGTACTAAGAGGTGAAGTGGTTTGATATAGAATAGTAATCTTTATGGTTATGCATGCATAAGCTATTTATTTGCCAGATGGTTATTTTCAATTGTGTTTTCCTCCATAGATTGGAGATCAGTCACAGACCCTTTCAGGTAAGCATCCTCCATACTTTTCCAGTATTTTGATCAGATTGATCTTTGATCTTACATAAAATTGAATGTATCAGTAGATTAATCTAGCCATCAACAACTACTCATAAAAAAAGCTTGTGAATATAAAGGAGATGATGAGAGCTTTTACTTGTGCAATAAATCAAAGAAATTATTCAAATGGGCACTCAAAAATGTTTTCACACAGAGCTGTTTTTCAATTTTCATAAGTTTAAATGCATTTTACAAACTTTTGCATATTTATATATCTTATGTATTATCACTAGTGCATTTTAAGAGAAAAAATGTAATTCAGTTTTTCTATATCAATTTCTAAAGTATCCTTAAAGTAAACTAGACATTTGTTTTGCTAAAAATATAGATGTGCTTAGGATAATTACACAATTCTGCCCTTCCCCAGCACTGAATCAACAAATTTATGGTTCTATTTTTACAAATAAGACAGAGCCCCTATCTGTAATATTTGTGGTCTAAAAATGATAGTTAAAAAGTAATCAATGCGCAGTCTGTAGTCAACATTATTGTAAAAAATCCGATATGGACATTTTGCACAAAAAGAAAGGGAATTTCATTGAGAGTGTTTTGATTAGAATTGTATGCATAACTGCCGATAAGAAGATCAGAGGCCACAGGCACATGCGTGCACACACGCAAGCACACACACAAACATATAAGATACATATTCATGTTTTCTGATCTTTTATTATTTTTCTCTATCCCTTTTTTCTTTGTCTCGTCTTTTCCTCTCTTTTTCACATTTACTTTATTTTTTAATGTAATTGTTATTATGTTATAAAATCTTTTAATAAAAACTATTTAAAAAAATAATACAGCAAAAAAAGTAGCTGTCATCACTAAAGTCAACCTGAAAGTGGATAAGTGAGTTTAATTATGAATGAAGAGACTAAAATGTACTTCAAAAGTATGACTTGATCGTCTAGGTTATGTATATGCATGAAAGTGGGAAATCATAACTGGGATGGTTTATATTTCAGTCCTGTTGTTGGCACACACAAAAAAAGGAAGAGTTGGGTGTATTTTGGGGGGAAAGTGCAGCATTCTGAATAAATGTGATAAGGAGGAAATTATTCTGTTAGGCAATAGAAGTGGATGGGAGAGAAAAAAATCAGAACTTGATGACTGTTAAATATATACTTTGTTGTCTGATGTTTTGAAATCTTGGTTTAAGTATAGATCTATTTTTGTAAACAAATAGAAAGGTTGCTGACAGGTTTTGAATGTGGATCAGAATTTTGGCATTGTCAGGAAAGCATCTTGAGAAAATGATATGGAAGAAAGGGAAAGACTTTAGAATAGAAACAAAATGATTGCCAAAGGAGAAAGTATGAGTCTTGTATGAAGATGTAATAGAAAACAGATGAATTGGATGTAAAGAAAGAGGATATGAAAGCTGCTTGAAAAAATGTGAAAAGAATTCCATTATAGAGTTCACAGAAGTGTGTGTAGTCAGGAAGACAAGTATGTTGTGATAGGCTTGACTGAAACGTAGCAGCAGGATGCCCGTGATTGACACATGCCTTTGGAAGGTAGAGACTCAACAGAAAAAGATGCTTGTGCTGGAGAGAGAGACAGAGAGAGAGAGAGAGAGAGAGAGACAGACAGACAGACAGACAGACAGACAGACAGACAGACAGACAGACAGACAGACAGACAGACAGATTTTGGTGAGAATAAAAGAAGAGAAAAAGAAACGTAATGCCATTATTAAAGACCTCGCTGGACTAGCAAAAAATGTAGATGAAGCTTTTCTACATTTGATGCACTCCTTTCAAAGTGATATACAATAGTTATAATGAGATACATACACAGTTCTCTAAAATGCTGAAGAGAAATAAGCTCCTCCTTCTACAGGAAATGGAAGGATGGGCTTATTACCAAATATATATTAGGTAGTGTCCATAATATGTAGGAATTTTGTTGGAAAGTCTGAATTTCAGAATGAGCTGAGGCTTTAAGAGATATCGAAAACAAGAGAGTGTTCTCTGACTATGTTAGAAACAAATGGACAGCCAGAGACTATAGTTCCATTGTGAGGAGAAAGTATGAATTAGTAATAGGTAATGATAAGAACGTAGAATTTCTTAACTTCTATTTTGTGCCTGTGTTCTCTCTGAAGAGAAATAGAGCACTAGCTTTATTTTCATTCTGCACTGGATGAAGGAGAAAACTGCAGCTTAGGATAGATGTACAGATTAGGATAGAGAGCAAGAGACAACTTAGCGGACTTAAATGAAGGAAATAGTGAAGATGATCACGGAATCATTTTAACTCTCATAGTGTTTGAGAACTTACAGAGAGCTTGTACAAACCCCAGATGAACAAAAATAGAAAAAAAGAAGAGATGAGAAAAGACCCCATCATCATATTTGGATCTGGTCGGATATGCAGGAGCTAGTAAAGGTTCAGTTGCAAATCAGTCATGCTGGATTTACCTTCAGTAGCATTACTACTTTAGTAGATCAGAAAACCATATGCGTATTGTACTGGATCTCAGCCAAACTTTCCGCTAAGTTGCTCATGATATGCTCCTTAATACAATGGTAAAGCATAGCTAGATGATACTACTGTTGATGGACTGATAATTGTCTAAGATATTGTACCCAAGCATCCTTGTTAATAGTTCCATTTCAGCTAGGAGGGAGATATCAAATGGAGTGCCATAGAATGTGTAATGGATTCTAAGCTATTCTGTACCTTCATCAGTGACTGAAATGAGGCAGTTAAGGAGTTCCTTATCAGCTCTGCAGATAGTACAAAACTGCTGCAGCTGGGTAATACTTTAAAAGGAAGAGATTTTTTAAAAATCTAGATATTTGAATTGTGGATTAAAATGAACAGCACGGAATTCAAGGAAAACTGTAAAATTCTTCATTTTGGAAGGAAAAAATGAAAGCAGAAATATGTTAATAATAAATGTTGCAAAATTTCTTTATTTATTAAATGTATTGACCACCCATCTTATCACAGGGTGATTCTATAGATAGAATGCAGGAGACTCACGTTGGCAATAGTACATGAGAAAAGTATCCAGTGTCCTTATCAACCAGCTGCAGTGTAATGCAGCTGCCAAAAGGCACATGCTAATCTGGGGTTAATTAACAAAAACATTGGTCCTGATCACAGTAACTATTCACTCTATTTTGACCCAGTCAGACCCTATTTGGAATAATGTGTCCCGTTCTGAGCATCACAGTTCAAAAAGGATAGTGATGAATTAGATGAGTTCTATACAAGGCTACCATGAAGATGAGGAGTTTGTAAACCAAGTGTACATGAATGGTTAAAGTATCTGGGTTCATTCAGTCTACAAGAGAGACAATTGAAAGAAAGATTTTCAAATACCAGACGTTTCCTGGTGGTATAAACTCTCAGGCAGTAGAACAGGAGGTTCCACATGAAGTGATGATTTTTCCTTCCCTGGAAATAAAGCATGGGGTTGGACTAGATGACCCTGAAGATTCTTCCCAATTCTATGGCTGTTTGAGTCTATGAGTTGTGCTAATTGGAAATATGAAAAAAATGATTGATAAAGTAATAAAATAATGTAGATTTACAGTGGATTACAGTGGATTAGAGAACCAGTTTGGTCTAGTGGTTAAGGCAGACTATGAGTTCTGCTTCTACCTCAAGCATGAAAGCCAGCTGGGTGACTTTCAGCCAGACACACTCTTTCAGCCTATAATGTCAGGATCCATCCCTTTTGGCTGGAAGAATGCCATTATTGTTCCTTTGTAAAAAAAAGAAAGAAAGGGGGGAGATAATATGGGGCAATAGAAAAACTACACATGGATTAATTTATTAATTATTCTTGGGCAGGAATTTTACAAATTTCTGACTTAATAAGTATAAGTAGTAATAATACCAATAGTTGGGCAAACAGTGCAGGTTTACACCTAAAAGGAGGTCATAGACCATATTTAACTCTTCAGCAGGTCAGTGAGAAATATATGAATATGGTATATTTGTTGATTTAGAGAAGCATATGAAGAACTGAATAGGCTTGAATTATGGAAAATTTTGCATGAATTAAACATTGGTTGATGAATGCAATAGGGTAATATTTTTTTAGCGTAAAACAGACTGCCTAGCAAATGGTTTTGAGCAGGAAGTAATATGTTATGTTACCTTGTTTGTTTAATGTATTTATAGATAAATGTATTGGGACTCTATAAATAAATTATAATTCCTTAACCTATAATAACATTAAACAAACAAGTCTAAAATGTGATAATGTTAGAGTTGTGTTCATGGAGACAGGAACGCGTGTGTACTTTGAATACAGATGATGCCATTTTGCTGGTAGAAAATTCAAATGATTTGCAAATGTTAAATGAATTGTATGGTGCAATGAGGAATATGGATCTAAAATGTAATATATCAAAAGCCAAAATAGTTGTTGTTGGAAACAGAATAAAAGATTGCAAGCTATACCTAAAGAAATGAAAATTACAGAAATTAAATGAAATTCTGTATCTTAATAGTCTATTTACTAAAGATGGGGAAAGTGATGAAGAAATTTCATAATAAAGGATGAAAAATGGGTTAGTTTTAAATAATAAACTAGATTTAATTAGATTTCCTATTCTTTTTATTTCCTGTCTTTCTTTTGCTACTTTCTTTTGTTACTCTTTCTGAACTTTGTATAATGTAGCTTTCTCTGAAAAGAAATAATATGATGGGTATGTATGAATATATGTATAAATGCACATTCCTGCACAACATTAATCATTTAGAGATACTTTCAAATTTGATAGCTGGACTCCTTATAGTTGGATCAGAGCAAGAGCATGTTTTTTTTAAAAAGAATATCCACCCAAAATACTTTGACTCAGCCAATGTTTATGTAAGTGAATAAATATTAACAGAATGGATGTATAAACCATGCATATGGCTGTTTTAGAATAAACAGCAAAATTGAGATCTACTTAGTTCAGGAGTGCAGCGATTACTCTTTACCCATAAAAATAGACTGCATGACTCACAATCAGGCTTCACCCAAAAACAAATTTAAAAAGAACTATGTAAAATAACTATTAACTTATGTGGAGAATCATTCAAAATTTCTGTATGAAAACCATATCTCTATTTCCAGGATTACTTGTGGTATGGTTACTTTGACATTTATTTCTAAATAAGATCACTTTTCTTGAGTAATTCAGAATATTGTACTAAGTCTGTTCTCCTTTTTAAGTGCCACCAGTCACTTGATAACTTGTGACATCTTTCATTCTCTCCGTTAGCTATGGATAGCAGACTAAAACTAAGCCAGCTCAAAAGATGGGTAGGTTCCAAGCTAAGTTATATAGAAATATTGCAGGAGGAAGTAAAAAGGAATCAAATTGTAAGTAAGACAAATATTTGTCTTTTCTTTCTTAAAACAGAAAGGAAAACTGCCATGTATGCTTGGGAATTCATGTATGCTTGGGAGTGATTATTTTTAACTAGTTAATTTTGCTGTATACTATAATACATGAATCAGATTATAAATGGAACAATGTATGTAGCTCAGGGGTAATTCTGAAAGCTCATTCTGAACCTCCTAACCCCAAATATTTCAATGGAATTTGCTTCTAAGGAAATTTGTTCAAGCTAACAAAGTACCCACATTATTATTGTACAAACTGTACTTTCTGCAAAGGAACAATACTGTTTGCCTTTAAATTACTGTCATCTTTTTAAAGATGTTGCATCTTAAAGAATTGAATTTTCAACCAATGGTTGAAATTAATACGAAAACCTCGTTATTACCTTGCAGTTAAAATGCTGTCATGTTTCTGTTTGTCCCTTTCTTCATCTTTTTCAGAAATACCAAGACTGTAAATCTGATAATGATAAAGAAGATGCTGCTGGAACATCTCAAAATAAAAACCCCTCAGATCAGAGCAAGTTTCCATTTAATACTCTATATTCAATTCCCAAAGCTGTAATCGTTTCATCGGACCTAGGAGGGCATCCCATCTCATTGGAAATGGCTCTGGTAAGCAGATCTTATCAATTAAGCATGAGCTGAAACTTAATCTTGCCAGAATTAAGGAAACAGAGAATTCTTATCCAGCCACGCTGTTTGGATGCAGACTGCAGTATACCACTGTTAGAATAATTAAAACAGATGTTTATGGGGAATGATCACTTGAAATGCACAAACCTGATACCTCATTAGGTATAGAGCAATGTAGACATTAGAACTGGATCTCACAACCAAAGATGGTGCTTCATGTCTAAAATTACAGGAGTTATTTTGGTGAAGAAGGGTTTTCTGTTTTTGGCACCCTCTGCTACTAACTAGCATATAAACCAAGATTAATGAAACACAACTGCTTTGTTTGCCTAACAAGCGATGCTCAACCAATCAAACCATATTATGATTTAATATGATAGCCTGGTTCACATAGCATGCTAAGACATAGTTGACTTCTATATTATAATCTAATTTAACCTAGACTAGCAAGTCAAATGAACCTAACTACTGTGATCTCCATGATTTTGCATCCTCTAGTTCCAGTGCTATTACCTGTTTATTCCTGATGACTACCACAGTCTGTTTGAAAGTGCACTTCCAGCACACCTTAAACATTAGGGATAACCTGCCTCTGTTTATTTTGTTGCTGTAGTGTTGTTCTGGGCCACTAAAATTATATTTAATGAACTGCCTTGGAAGGGATCAGTTTAAAGGGGTTTCAGGGCTACAGCCAGGACTAACGTGGGGGTTATTGCCATCCCTATTTGGCTGTCTGGGACTTAAGATGTTTAACCAATGCCCAATTTTCACTGCCAAAGGTTGCAAAACAAAAAGCTGCATGCCATGGAATTCCCTTGTTTTGGCATGGCTGCTTAGAAGGACTAATATAAAACAGAGGCAAAGCTCTTTACTCTCTATGACATTTTAAGAATGGTTTTATTGATTGCTTTGTGAGCTAGTGATTTTACTTTGCTTTTTCTTCTATCTCTATATAGTTTGGCTCCAGGGCTTTTTTGTTTTTGTTTGGCTCTCTTATTATTATGTCCTACAATGATTGTATATATGAGATTTTAATAACATCATCAAGAGCTCTTTGATTGTTGGCCAGCTTAATGGTGTACTAAATAAATCTATTTTTCCCATTCAAAGGAATTGCGAAGGATGTTATTTGGAAACACATTTCAAGTCTTCAACTATGAATGGAAAAAATCATATTTCAGGTTTCACCACCCCTTTACTGATTTGGCCTATGCCTTAGAGATGGATAAGGTACTGTCTGCCCAATTTTGTTTTTTAACTGATAAGTATTTTATCAGGATCTCACCTATTTATTAAAAGGTCCAACCAAAGCCACATCCATCTACTTCAATTCCTTCTGTCTTCTCTTTTCTGGAATAATAAAAATGGATTGCAAGCAATCTTTCTCACTTAGAGAATTGTATATCTTTAGACCAGCATTCTGTGGGTTGCCATAATGGATACTTACACAAAATCTAGTACATATGTTCTGGACTGGCTAGTTAGATGAGAACTGTATGTTAGAATGCTTGGCATTTAAAGGGTTAAGCGCTGTCTCCTTAAGAGATGGCTTATGGGTAATGTAGTTTTAGCTGTTCAGTGAATCCTATGTTAATAAGTCAGTGGGAGGGGCTACTAAGTTCATCACAGGATATCCTGGCTACGTGCCAGCTCATGTTTAATTGTCTTTGTGCAAAACCAACCATGCCGCACACATGGACATCGCCTGTAACCAGGCTAAAGTGAATATGGAGGAATTACTGATTTTACCTACGAAAATGGACAAATGTACAGCTTCCAGATGAAACTACAGAATCGTGAGTTCTGCCAAGTATTCCTGGAATAAATATTTGTTTTATAACCATCTTCGTTGAGTTGTCCCTGTCTGGTCTTGAATTACAAAGCATCTTAGTTCAGGATCCAGAACAAAGTCTAGCACATAGGAGAAGACTTTCTTAACCGATTATGTGATTTTTAAGTATATTTGCATTTTCTAGAAAGGGAATTGGTAAATCCATCCTATATAGGTTCCGACGTTTCCAGCTGACTCTAGGAACTACTGTAACTGCTCTGAAGCTTGTCATGTAAAGCCAAGAAAAGCATGTCAACTTTATGTTGGCAATATTCACCTTTCAAACTCAAAACATATTCATAATAACAAGTGCCAGTTTGTTGTCTTGATTAAGATTCTGGCCTAGAAACCAGGAGACTGTTAATTCTAGTCCTGCCCTAGGCATGAAACGTGGCTGGCTAACCTTGGGCCAGTAATTTTTTTCTCAGCCTACCAAGCTTGTTATTGTAAGGAAAATAAGAGGAGAAAAGACTATTTGCCGCTTTGAGATATTTATAAAAATAATAAATAAAAACTAATAAATAAATAAATAATAATGAGCAATATTTATTAAACATGTATGCCACCTGATTTCACAGTTATGTAAATCTGGAAAATATTATACATACTAAAATTGTGATACTGTACTTTCTGGATCTGGCCAGCTCTATGCTTTCCAAGACCTCAGCTTGATCTTCCTGCCTAAGCAGAAAGCAAGAAATTAATAGCTTTTTGTTTAATTTCATGATTTGGAAAAATGTTTGTCCACTATTGTTCTACACAGAGCTTGGGAATGTACGTTGCTCAAAGCTCAGTCTCCTGTAAGCATCGGAGAAGGTCCCCAACACACTGAATTTGTATCATAGTGTAAGCAAATCACAGAGCAATTCACTCTTGGTTTTGTTTTTTTAGGGAGGAACCACAGCAATCCAGATGGCAGTTCAGGTTCACATCATGAAACACTTTTTGTTTGTACAAAACAAAGAAGAAAATGTCTCCCTTCAAAGGTAAGGAAATGTATACATCTGGGATGGGGGAGAATTTTATTTATTAATTTCTAGATGAATCAGGAAGAACATAGTACAGGTATGTTCCTCAACTTACAATCATAATTAAGCCCAAAATTTATGTTGCTAAGCAAGACAGTTGTTAAGTGCGTTTTGGCCCCATTTTACAACTTTTCTTGCCACAGTTGTTAAGTGAATCACTGCAGTTGTTAAGTTAATAACACAGTTGTTAAATGAATCTGGCTTCTCCATTGATTTTGCTTGTCGCAAAAAAAGTGATCACATGATCCCAGGACACTGCAACTGTCATAAATATGAGTCAGTTACCAAGCATTTGAACTTTAATCACATGACAATGCTGTAATGGTCGTAAGTGTGACAAAAGGTCATAAATCACTTTTTTCAGTGTTACTGTAACTCTGATTGTAAAACTGTTGTAAGTCGAGGACTACCTGTAATAGCATTTGCAAATCATGACTTAGAGCAGAGAGACACCACTTTGTCTGGACTGAAAACCTCAGTTAGCCTTTGAGTGGTCTGCCATGGATTTCAGTGCCCAAAGTCACAGGTAACATCTAAATCTGATTTTATTTCATTTACTCTTGAATTTAATTAAAATTGAAACGTAATTATATGTCTCTCCAGTCATTCATTTGCTCACAGAATTTGGAGGTCTTGATGACCACACCCAAGGCTTAATGGGATCCCATATGGCTCTAAAACTGCACCTATTTTCATGTGAAGGGCAGCAAGCCTCTGATCTCCCACTCTTCTCTCACAAGTCCAGAGAAGGAATGTAACCTCCTTCAATATTCCTTTAATTAACCATATGTAACTTCATTTTTTAGACAGTACTCAGTCCTAAATTTGAGGAGTAGATTTTCAACAGAACTCCCAAGTAGAATCACTCTGTTCAACAGCATCTATTTAATTCATGTACACGTTAATTTGCTGTCATATCTCTGTCCAGTGGAGAAGCACTAAAGAGCAATTTCCACTGCAAGTTATGAATAGACAGGAACTTTATAATTTGCATTAGAAAAATAATACAGAGAGTATAACAGAGAAATAATTTAAACAATAATAAGCAGTGGGACTTAGTGGGATGCACCCAGCAGGGAAGCTTAATCATAGCTAGTGCTCCCTGCCCATTACACTGATGGAAAGTTGGAAAGTTACAACTCATTTCAATAGCATAGTACTTAGTTAAACTGATTCTTCCCAACCTCTTCCACAAATGCCCACAATAACATCTATCTATCTATCTATCTATCTATCTATCTATCTATCTATCTATCTATCTATCTATCTATCTATCTATCTATCTATCTATCTATCTATCTATCTATCTCCTTCACATTTATATGCTGCCCATATTGCCTAGATGTGACTCTAGGTGGCTTACAATCAATAAAAACAACAAGCTATAACACTGAAATATTAAAATAAATATTAACACTAAAACTGATTTAAAATGGGCAAAGATGGGAAGGCAGCAAATGCACACAGGGAAGAGATGGGGTCTTATCTTAGTCCACTAACCACTTCCAGAATGACATACCCTCATTGGGGCCCCAAGCCAGTTGACAGAGCCAGATTTTCAGGCCCATTTGGAAGGCCAAAAGGATGGGTGCAGATCTCACTTTGGGGGGGGATGATGTTCCAAAAGGTGAAAGCCACACCTGTATCCCACCAGCCAGAAAGAATTCTTCTCCTGTATCCCACCAGCCAGAATTCCTGGACCACTGAGTCTGCAGGCGCAGGTAGGTTGTCTCTCTCTTTTTCCTAACCATCCCTCTAAGCCAGTGCCCCCCAAACATTTGGGCATCAGGGACCAGTTTCCGTGGAGAAAAGTTTTTCTGTGGAACGGAGGTGGCATGGTTTCACATGCTGCCTGCATCCCATAGACCAGGGGTTGGGACCCTTGCTCTAGGCCAGTGTTTCTCAATCTTGACAATATTACATATTGGATTTCAACTCCCAAAGTTTCCCAGCCAGCATACTGACAGGAGAATTCTAGGAACTGAAGTTCACATATCTTAAGTTACTATGGTTGAGAAAAACTGCCCTAGGCTAAACTTCTGCTCCTCAACTTTCTCCTTCTTTGCACCTGTTTGTGTCTCTGCTTAGATTCATAGCTTGTTATCTCTTTTTTATCTCTTTGTACTCTTGGGAAAAAACCGTCCCTTCAAGAGGTGTCCATTTCTGATTTTCTTATCAACTCTAAGCTCTCTATGAGCAGCCATTTTATCATTTTGCTTAATCCCTTTTAAACTTAGCATCTCCAAAGATCTTATTTCTTCTGCTTTTGACCTTGCTCTGCTAAATATGTGAAAGTAGACCCCCAGCATTCAATGCCTCACTTCTCAATATTATTGCAACCAACAGGATTGCACATCATTTACTGGACTTACTTGCATGTAACATTAATCCTGGTAAGTTTCATCACCCAATTTAAGAAACTGAGGTTTGACTCTACCTTGTTGAGCTCGCCATGGAAAGCATGGACCATGGTTTCTTACTTCATGATATATGACATACTTGCAGTTAATAAAAGGAACCATTTCTGAAACCTTTTCTCAGCCACTTAGGAAAAGGCATGGTGAGAGAACACACCCAAGTCTTGCATATTTTATTTTAACTTATGCACATTGTGCTAAATCAGGGTTTGGCATTTTTTTTACACATCCAACCCAATGCCTTTTGAGAATAAAAATAAAAGCAATGGTTCAGAATCTCCTGATTTACTTTCGTGGTTCCCTATGACCTCTCTCTGTTTGGCTTTCCAGTATATCTGAAATAAGCCTCAAAGAGCAAGAAAAAACTCTTACAACAGCACTAGCCGATATTCTGTGGACAGCAGGAGAAAGTCAGAGAGCAACTATCTGCTTTATCACGGATGATACTTACATTACTGCAAATGTAGACTACGAAGTGGATCACTTTACTGAACAAGTAAGATAAGATATTTTAAAGATCTGGAAATGTGAAATATTTTAGCTGAGCTTAGACACAACGTAAGAAACACTCAAAAGTACACAATAAATACTTAGAATGAATGCCACCCATTCAAAGCCAGAATTTTAAGAATTTAAGTAGTACTTGATTTATAATCATTCATTTAGTAACCATTCAAACTTACAAAGGCACTAACAAAGGTGACGCACAATTGGCCGCTTCACTTATGACTGTGGCAGCATGCCCATAATCACATGATCAAAATTTGGGCACTTGGCAACCGGCACGTATTTACGATGGTTGCAGCATCATATGCACACACACACACACACACACACACGGACTACCTATAATATTGACAGGCTATTTGGGGAAGACTGCTGTATATGATAAAATAGGAAACCATATGTGGATGCAGAAATTCAAACAACCCACTGGATGCTAGGAACAAGTTAACTTTTATGTATTACTTTGCTGCTCTTTAGGCGACATCCACATTTTTCTAACCCAGTTCTGGCAGATTTTACTAGGGTGAACTGTAGGAGACACATTATTCAAATCAGAATAAACAATGCTTGTCTGTGATAATGCTGAATGAGGTAATTACTATTTCTCACAATGTTTTTCAGTATTTTGTTCTTACTGGAATCCAACCACTTTATGGGCGTACTGTAGATCTTAATATTTCTTGGCAGGTTCACCTGTTTGAATTTGTTGAGAAAGAAACAATGCAGCACTTTATCTTGGATCACATACACTGTGTAAGTAGAGTCTGTGCAATTGATTTACAAAATTGAATCTGTTCCAGTCATTTTTGTTTACTATACACCGAAAAAGAACTACAGTTCTGTGTATTTTTCTCTTAAACAATTACCACCTGTTTATTAGGGATTATTGTTAAATCATCATACACAGGATTGCTGTCCTGTTTATATCCAGAAGTGTTAACTAATTTAATTTTATTCTTACCCAGCTGCTAAACTTTTTATACATTTTGAATAATCATGTTTGCTTTTGTATGGAGAAGGTTTCTTCATCTTGGCTTCCAAAATCTGGCTGTTTCTTCAGCTCTTGGGTTAGAGTGGGCAGTGAGTCCTGTCTACCTGATTGTTGTTGTTCTAGCATTTGGACTCTTTTAATTGCTTTGTAAAATTATTATTTTTGTGTACAACCCATAGTATTGTAGAAATGGGCAGCCTTGTAAATGTTTTAATAAATAAATAAATCCATGCTGGTGAAGAATTTTGAAAGCTGTAATCCCAGTATATCTGGAAAATACCACTTTAGGGAATACTGATTTTGTATGATATTGTAATTAAAAACAAGAAACAACACCTAATTACAATTGTCAGAGAAGTTGGGCAATGTTAAAATAATTCTTGTTTTCTTTCATCTATTTGAATCAGCTGAACTCTGAGGGAAGTCATGGGGTGATCTTATTTCTGTACAGTTTACTTTTCTCCAGGACATTTGAAAGGTAGAATGTTTTTTTTCCCTTTTTTAAATACTTAGATTTAAGTTAAGCAATTATTTACCAATCAATGTGTATATGTTAAGATTCTGCAAATGTTGTTTACATTCATCAGTAAAGAAAGTTTTAGAAGAAAATTTGGTCCATATATTATCAGATGTAAAAAGAAATTACATGGGATGATGCAAATGTAATTGGCTGCTGGCAAAGTGCTCATTTTTTGGTCAAAAAGATTACTGTGATGCCATGAGCTAAGTCCAGTTGCTCAGAAGACAATTAGCAATATTATTTTAGTTAGGCATATTGAAGCAAGCCCTACACACTTCCCCAAATGTCTTTCATGGAATAGCTGATCTCCTTCTTACTCTCTGTAACCTCTCAAAATGGTTCTTGCTACACTACCCTACTTTTGTTTTTTGTTAGGTAAGCACATTTCTTTAAAAATGCTAAAATGCTTATTTTCTAAAATTGCCTGTTAGGCTTAGAGACACACTCAGGTAAACAAAAATTGAACTGGAGGTTGCCACTTTACATTTCAGCATTTCTCTCTTTTTTTTTAATTAAAAAACCGCCGTAAGGGTAGCAGTGAGGTATCTGCAGGCACATTAGTGCTCAGGATTGCCTGCCTAGAGTTGTACAATACTTCAAATTCAATAGAAGAGAATATTTGTGGCTCAGTGCTGAACTGTGGAGTCCTTGGTGATCTCTGCGCTTGGTTGTTTTCTTGCAGATGTTTCATTACCCGGTCAGGTACCCATTACCAGTTGGGTAATGAAATGTCTGCAAGCAAACAACCAAGCTCAGAGAGCATCAAGGCCTCCACTTCAGTTCCACAGAGAAGCTTTTCAATGTGTATATATATATATACAAAATAGCCTTTGTTTGCTAACAGTCCCAATTTTTTTTCACTTGGGAAAAAGAACCTTTGGTGTATGGAATCACTGAATGTTTTTCTACTGGTTGCAATGTCACAATAAAAACTACAGAATTATAACCACATACTATGCAAATTGCAAAGCCAAAACCAAAGTAGGAAAGAAGAAGAGAATCAAGAGATGTAGGTAATGCTACGGAAAGGCTCTTCAAAAAAAAAACCCCAAACCCTTCAATTAAATGACCCTTAATTTTCCAGTTTCATGTTTGTTATATCTTTGCTTATTATTTCCATACCCTGCCTCTCACCAGGGAGTTCAAAGGGAGGTTTATTTGATTCACTTCCTTTCCGTTTTATCAACACCATAACTCTGCTACATAAATTATACTTGAGTGTTTATATAAAGAGAAAGGCCAGGCATGGTCTCCATAATTTAAAAAAATGAAATATGCTGTGAGATAACAAATGATTTGTTCACACACAATAACCTTCATGACTGGATCTGGTCTCCCAGCTAGGCCTGATGCTTTAGTTAATATTATACTGATTATTACACCCTCCAATAATGTTAAACATTGTTCATTCTCCATCTTATAGGTTTTTCTATAGGATAGCTGAAACAGAATTTTGCGTAGATGGCAAATTATAAATGACGTTAACAAAGTGAACTTAATTAAGAGTTAAACTATATAAGTGAAACCAATTCTATAGCATTTTCTTTGTGTTTGGCTGAACAGGCTTCAGAGAGATCTAGACTTCACCACAATTCACCTGTTACAATGGAGACATGGAGACATTAGCTGCAGACAAGTAAGTCTCCAAATGTGAAATTGATAGTCTTTGACTACTTTTCATAAATACATAAAAATGAAAAAAATAATGTGCTGCTATACTTTAAAGTGTCCAGCTACTGTGCAGTGTTGGGTTTCAGGGTTTAGAGATTGTAGTCAAGGCAATAGATTTCTTGACGTTTTGCCAGCAGCTGCAGCTGGCATCCTCAGAGGCAAGGTGGTTTGCCTAGCAGACCACAGGCAACTGAGCAGCAATTTTACTGGGCTCTTGTCTTTTATAGTCAGGTATCCTGATTCTTGATACTAGCTGGAAGTGTGATGTTGGTCCTTTCTCCCTTTAGGCAATTCTGAATCTCATTTTAACTGGCAGAGCAAATCCACATGTGTTCAATGGATGCCAAAAGCTTGACACTGAAGGCAGCATGCAAAAAGTACTGCATGGAGTCCACTCCCGCAGCAATGTTGGCTACTTACGATGGAGTAAGGAAGAAGCAGAACAGCACAGATCCCTAAAGGTGTGGAAAAGTATTTGAAGGTGTTTTGCTTCTTTGATCAGCCAGTCCAGTCCCATAAGAGGGTCTCAAAATAGCTTTGAGACATCATGAGCCAACAAGAAACAACACCCAGCCTATAGAAGAATATAAAAAAGATCTTGCTGGGTGAAATAAAATATTGATCTAGCTTAGCGTTTTGTTCTCACAGGGGCCAAGCAGGTGTTAACAAGAAGCTCATAAACAGATGTAAGTCCTATAACTCCTTTCTCCCAGTAACTAATGGTAACACTGGACATTATATGTGCAAGCAAGATTTTCAGCCTCCAAGTGGAGACACTTGCATGCAGCCTACACCAAGCCTCCCATGGTCTTTCCACCCCTCTGAGGCACCCTGAACTCCTTACTCTACCGCATTCCCTCTTTGCTCATGGACTGAAAATCCTGATTAGATTTCAGCTCCCTCTCATCTCTGGAGGCTGGCTGAAAGAGCTCCCTGACAAAGGCCAAGCCAGCACAGGGCTGGAATCCTTCAACAGAAGGTTCTTTTGCTCTTGGGGCTGGCTGAAAGTGCTCCCTGCCAAACTCCAAGCAGACCCAGAGCCGAAACCCTTCAGCGGGGAGCTTTCTGAGTCAGACCCCAGAGACGAGAGGGATTCCTCTGGGCAGGCAGCAGCAATTTGCAACCTTCCCTGCTAGTTTCCCCATTGACTTTCTGGGGAAGCTGGCATAGAAAATTGCAAATGGCGATCACATGATCATAGGACACTTGGCAACCAGTTGTAAGTGTGAACAGGTTACTAAACACCTAAACTGTGATCATGTGGCTGTGAGTGGAGGGCACATCCTCTTTATCTGAAGAGGTTCCAAGAAACCAGTCTGTTCACCAATTCATTGGTCTTGGCTGCAGTCATCGGCTCCACTTTAGCAGAGCTGTCTTAAGTTTGCCATATCGCATCCAGGAGTTATATTTTATATTTCATGTATTTGTAATAATCTCTGTTTAGTATTTGTTAGGTTGATGGTGTTGCCATAACTCATGGAAGATAATTTTATAATTTATGTGTTTTTCTTTTTCATCATTCAGCTTCACTGGATAATTCAGGCTACTTCTTGGACTGTCTTAACATTCATAGTCCATTTGAGAGCATTTTAGAAGAATTAAATATTCTAGGGAATGATAGCTTGCTGTCCCAGACATGGCTAATTAGCCATCCTCAGAAGAATTCAGAATTGTTCCCAAAGTGGTTGAAATAAATAACTACAAGGAATTATCACCACTTTTCACAGACAATGAAACTCATTTTACTTTTATGCCAGATTAGCCTTTTTAGAGTGAAGTGTTAAATTTTAAATTTAGAAATGTGTGATTCTAAAAAAAATGCAAATGCATTTTATTTCATTTGATACATAACTATAACTTTTATATTACAGGTTGGAAGCATGTTGAAGACACCAAAATTGCCAATATGGCTGTGCAACATAAATGAAACATACAGTATTCTCTTCAGCTTAAACAGGTTGTTATTGTCTGATTGGAAAATGGAACATCTCTTTGATTTATATTTCTATAAAGGCAAGACCTCCCAAAAGAAAACTGTCCATCTAACAATAGGTAGGCATTTATATTTGTTGGAGTAGTATTAAATGAAAATGCTTATTTATTTTTCTCTTTCCCACAAGTAATGCTTAAATCCGTTTTCCTGTCTTTTCTGATCATTGTAAATTAAATTTTAAAAGAGATATTGGTTTAAATGCCCCTTCTAATTTTTAACTGTAAACTGATGAATTCCAGATTAAAAAGTATTCCTAAAAATTCTTAGAAAATCACCCAAACAATAAACAAATTAAAATAAACAATCTAGCACCTCCCTCCCTGTTAAAAGCTCCAGCTCTGACTGAGAATGGGTTTGAAAGAAATATAGTTTCCGGGGAAAACTCCAAAAGCATTGCCAGTAAAGGTAAGGCAAATACTCCAATTGTTTCAAGCCATATAATCCATATATAAGACCAGAACGAATTCTTTACCTAAAGATCATATACACCATAAAACTGTTCTCTATTGTATACAATAAGTGATGTGCTAAAGCAGGGGTCTCCAACCTTGGAAACTTTATGACTTGCGGACTTCAACTACGAGAATTCCTCAGCCACCATGGCTGGTTGAGGAATTCTGGAAGTTGAAGCCCACAAGTCATAAAGTTGCCAAGGTTGGAGACCCCTGTGCTAAAGTGCTGTAATAAAAAAGTGAAGATTTGAATATCATAGTATGGAATATTGGAAGCATAGTAAATCAAATCAATGCTAGAATGAGAAGGTAGTAGGCAAGTAGTGCCTTTTTAAATGAAATGGGACAATTTGCTGCAGCCAACTCTCTGTGGCCAAATCACCATGGCCAATTCACCACGGGACAATTCGCACAGCCAATTTGCCACAGGACAATTCAACAATTCACTTTAATTGTTTAAAATAACTTATATGTATATGTATAATGTATATGTATATGTATATGTATATTGCCACTCATATTTCATTTTGTCCCTCCTTTGGCATCCTTTTTTAATGATTCTATTCCACCATTTCTTCAATATTAGTGTATATCTGGTTCCATGGCCAATTGTCCCACAGTAAGTTCGCCATGATAAGTTGTCCCATGGTGAGTTGGCCACAGCGACTTGACCTTAGTGCGTTCACTGTTGCAAGTTGGCCATGGGGAGTTGTCCTAGATCCCTGTTTAATTATTTGGGAGGTCTCCATTCAGTGGATAAATAGACGGATGAAAAGATGAATGATTGGATGGAGACAGAGAGAGAGAGACCACTGAAATCAATAGCCTAGTAAATGGAAATGTGTGAAGAAATTCAAACAGTCTAATGACATGGAATGATAAATGCACAAATGCATTTTCATATTTCAAAATATTCTGTGATTAATATAGTTAGAAGAGGTCATTTAGGCTATTGAATCCAACTCTCTGCTCAGTGCAATAATCCACATTAAAGCATCCTTCCCCTATCTAGCCATTATTTGAACATATCCCATGAAGGGAACCCAGCACATCTTTGGATAATTGGTTTCACTGTTGGGAATGTTGTTGTTTTTTAACATTTAACTGATACCTGCCTTACTATCTTCCATTTCATGTACTCTGGAATTATACAGCACTGATCTTTGCCACTTGGTCTCCTGTATGAAGAACTGTAGGCAATGGTCCTAATCTGAAATGTAGCTGTGTGAATATAGGGCATAATCATTTCCCTTTGTATCATTTCTCTCACAAAAGTTGAACTCAAAATTGGTTTTGCATGAAACAGTGCACATGTATGTTTGCTGTTCTCCTCTCAGATACACATTCTCATCACTGGGAAGAAAATCACTGTGTGGATAACAGGGATCCCCACAAAAGAGTGCTATCTCTGGAAATGGCCATTCGAACTAAATGGGAAGGAGCTGCCATCAGCTGGAATGGAACAGCTCCATTCTTCTGATCCAAGTGACTGGAGGAGATGGTCTTTTTTAAAGGTGCTGCCCACATGAACCTTGAAATGAAAGTGAGAAGAAGGAAGACAGCCTATTGCTATGGGTTGAATTAATGTAAAAAGTTGCTATTGCTAATTACAAAAAAAATTAGCATCCTGTGCAATTCACTCAATTGCTAATGGATTGCAGCAACATGAGCATTTGTCTGTACATGTAGTCCTCATTTAGTGACCACAATTGTGACCATCAACTTGTCACAAAGTTACTTTTTCATTACCGTCGCTGTCCAAGGAAGTCACTAAACAAGGACTACCTGTAATGGAAATGTAACTGATATGAAGTAACTGAAAATGAGCATTAAGCACTCTTGCTCTTGAATAAAGGGAATGGTGAAAATCATGGAAATAGCCCCATTCCTCATCAACAAAAAATTGCTGGCAACACCCCTGGTGATACTTCAGTAGCATCAGGCACAAAGAAACCACTTCTATTCTAAAGTTTTCTTTATGGGAGAGGGAAAAAATCATTAATAAAAAAATAACAACTATATGAATCTCAATTTTGTTGAACAACAAGTCCAACCAGACCTAACCAACATGGCCAATGGGGATGCTTGAATTGTAACTTATCTACATCTTAAGGCTCAGTGATTCCCCAGTTATGTGTTCAGAAGTTCAGTATAAGCAGAACTGATTTTCTTCAGATTAATGCTATCTCTGCATCAACTAGTAATATGATTGGCACACATATTATAGCACTGGAACAATATTAGCCCATAATATAATGTAATATCAATTATAATTTTGGGAAATGGCACAATTAAGTCAAATATTCAAGATATTGTCTGCCTGACCTGATTTTGAAAAGTGATATTTATCATTTTAACAAATTATTATTTAACAAGCTATTCTTTTAGCAGAAGAATGAAGTTGCCCAAAATAATATCCCTGATGCTCTTTGAGTCTAATAAGCTTTGACTATTCTTTTATTCTCCAATTAGCTTTCCTCAAAATTATAACTTTTTAGAAAAAAGCTGTGTTCTCTCTGTTATTTCTGTGTTTTTCACCACCATTTCAAGTTTGCCTGTTTTTTTTTCACCTCTCTAAAATAATTAAGGAGAGAGAAAAAATATCTGCAGTGTTTTTTTATTGGTAGGACTAGGAAGCCATGGTCTAGATTTATTCTAATTTATTCTTAGGCAATGCTTCAATTTGTGCTAAGATTTCATTGGGGCCTTGGCTTTATTTTTGTCTTTTTTTCTCCAAATGATTTTGATCATTATATTATGTGCTTATTTATGTTCATTGGTAGATGGGTAGCCATAAGAATCTGTTAAATAAATAAAAAAATCCATAACCAGGTCTTTGCTTCCATATGTTGAGCACAGGATCTACATGCCCCATGCATGTTGTTTTAATCCTGATCTTCATGTTCTGAAGATCTTCATGCAGGAAAACCTTATGATCCTAAGAAGTTTGTGTGCATGAAAGATTCATATTTTGTCCAATAGAACAGGGGGTTCCAACCTTGGCAACTTTAAGACTTGTGGACTTCTGGGAGTTGACGTCCACAAGTCTTAAAGTTGCCAAGGTTGAGGACCCTGCAGTAGAATGTACAGAGATCCTTTTTTTAGAGCTTACTCAATTTGTAAAAGTCTGGAACATTGAAATCTCTGCAAGTTACTATGATATAAACATTTTTGGCTTAGATCAAAGGTCTCTTTAGAAGTGGTAATATTAAGGATAAGCATGGAATGGACAGGATTAATACTACAAGTAATGTGAATCTGGAATCATACCTTTTTAACAAGGTAATATTAAAGTTGAAAGATACACGGGATAGATTGTTGGACAAAAGGATAAAAATGTTAAGTTTTTTCTGTAAAAATAGTGACAATAGATTTTTGCAGCTATAGCAAATCAATAGCGAAAAGAGCAAACTAAGCGTAAACAAAGGTATTAATACATATTAAAATAAAAAGTCTTTTAAAGAATTTGGCAGACATTCACAAGAATGTACTTGCATGTTTCAGTCAGTTTGTATTTTCATAGAGGAATTCTGCATCAAATAATTCAAAGAAGTAAAATGACTGTGTGTTAAATTGAAATATTTTTCCATGAACAATTTCAGTGTTTCGGTATAAGTTGCTGATTTCTCCTACTTGAAATCAGTATGGAATAATAGTAAGTATAAAAATGAATTATTGGTAATCCACAATGGTAAGATTATACTGGGTAAATTAGTATTATTGGAAGCCTTAAAACCTAACATAAAAAGCCTGGAAAATAAACATAAATCAATACCATAAAATGTTCAGCGCATTGAACATATAATTTATTACTAAGAATCATAAAGAACAAGAGTATGCAAAACTCTGATACAATGGATCTACAAACTCCTTTGATGTACAGCCTGCATGTTCCTGCTAGCTGCTTGTCTTCTTCCTATCTCACTCATATCAAGCAGCAAAATCTATGGTGGCAAGAGAATATTGTACTGAGAATATTCTCAACACAGTCTTTTGAAATAATCCAGAAGATGGCGCTCAGAACTGCAAATGAACCTTTCAAGTCAATGGCATTCATTGCAACATCACTGTTTAATCTCCGTAATCCACAAAAAGGAAGAGTACATGTACTCTGACAATAAAGGTTGATTTGATTTGAAGCACAATGTTGTTTGTGGAACTTTCACCAACAATGGCAAGGTAAATACGAGCTACTAGTTGTGTGAGTTCTCTGAAAACTCTCTGTACAATCCAACATATTACAAAATGTATACACCCTGGAAAATTCTAATTCACCTTAAAGTATGAACTTTGTGCACCAACTAGTCATGAGCCACCCAAAAGCATTTGTGAAAAAATGTTGTACATGTTCTATCACAAGTTAGTACTGTGGTAGTAACAGTGTTGCTAGTAAGATTCTGATAAAAAGTTGGGTAATATGCCATCCTTAAAATACCTTTGGCACCCTAGTGCCCTCAAGATGTGTTAGATTTTAAATCTCAGTATCCTTGATCTACAGAGAATATGTAGATAACGGTTTGTTTGAAAGGACAACCAACACATCTGGAAGAGACAGATTTGGGGAAAGCTAAGAATTTGTTTTAACACATCGACAATTCTCTCAATATATGAATAAGCATTCAGCACTGATAAATTCTTGACCTTTCTCTTTTCTCCACCTCAGTGTTTTCCATCCTTCCAACATATTTATATTAAAAACCAATAGTAGGTTTTATATAGTTCAAAGGCCTTATAGGTAATGTCTTTCTTAGGGCAATGGAAACAATGAAATGTTATATCTGTTTCCATTCAAAGTGCAACACAACACAGAGGGTGTTTTTCCTCTTAAATTATCTTTGCATAATGAAGACTTTTTGAAACTCAAAAGTTTTAGCTTTTAGCTAAAAAGCTTTTAGCTAAAGCTTTTGAGTTTCCAAAAGTCTTCATTATGCAAACATAGTTTGAGAGAGAGAGAGAGAGAAACATCCTGGGTCACTTTGCATTTTGGACGGAAAAATAGAGAACCTCCAGACATGCAAATGGCATAGTTATCAGATATAGAGTAGTATTAGATTGAATTAAATACTTTCAACATTTTCTGGGAATAAAAGTGAAATGTTGCTAAATTCCACATCTTGATTCCTGCTTTAAATTACAATGTTTCCAACCACTGGGGAAAACAAGAAAAATCAGTTCAGCAATCTTCCTATTTAACAAGGATGGAAATATCTTATTTGACCATTGTTCTTTACACAGCTGACTAATTCAGTGCATATTTGTTCCCCTAAAAATAATGCAGATGGCTCAGCATCTCATCATCATCCATGCTTGGGATATAAAAGTGTGCTGCTACTGTTGGACTGCACTATACTTATGTGTGATAAAATTTTGGATTTTTTTAATATTGGCTTATTATTTGTTCCTAAATGTTACCAGAGTTGATGTGTTATGTGATATCCTACAGATGTATAAACAATCTAACTAAACAAATAAGCCCAAGTCTCATTCTTGTTTCATGTTATTACTTAAAGAGGCATCCAGCATGTGAGGGACCCCTTCATTTCAGAAGCTGCTTAGTTCAGTTTTAGTTGCAATAACTACAGCCAAATGCTTTTTGTAATTGGCAGTCAGTCTCTCTTTACTGTGTAGAAATTTCAGCTCATTCCCACTTGGCAACTGCTTCGACTTAGTACTGTCTGAGAATTGAAGTCCTTGTTTCAAGTCTTTTATAACCTTTCTACAGTTTTGTGTTTAGATCTAGCCAACCTAAAGCATTTAATGTATTCTTCTCCATACTTTTGCAGACTTGTTTCTGTGTCGGAGATCTTGTTGCATGACCCATTTGCATGACTCGCATTTCAGCCTCAGCTGATGAGCAGGTGTTCCAATATTCTGCTGCAGAACTTTCAGATACAAAGCAAAATTCATACTGTGGGTATTTTATGCACTTTTATTGTACAGAACTATCGTTGGAAAAATCCAGAGGACCACAAGATAGCAATAGCAATAGCACTTAGACTTATATACCACTTCACAGTGCTTTATAGCCCTGTCTAAGCATTTTACAGAGTCAGCATATTGCCCCTAACAATCTGGGTCCTCATTTTACTGACCTCAGAAGGATGGAATGTGAGTCAACCTTGAGTCCATCAGGATCAAACTCCTGGCAGTGAGCGGAATTAGCCTGTAATACTGCATTCTAACGACAGTGCCAGCAAAAAATTCTAAGTTTTTGCTGTCATCCTGTGGTCATTTGAATTTTTACAGCCCAGATCATATAGTCCTAACCAAGGTACCTAAAAAATTATTTGAGTTCACGAAAGGTAATTTCCTAGGTTCTGTATTGCCTTAGGAATCCATTGTCCTTAGGTAGAGAAGAGGGCTGATTGATTTTTTTCCACAGCTTGCAGAATTCCTGTATTGTAAGATTTGTTGAGCAGGCTATACTAACCCATGTCTCTATCTTTTCATCACTTGGGGGGGGGGCAAAGCTGCCTATGTTAAGCTTCTTGAAGCTGCAACTTCATGGACCTTTAGTTTTCCTGCTTAGGAATTCTGAGAGTTAAGTCCAGAACACCTGAAGAGCATCAGACTCAGCAAGCTGGATCCACTTTGTTGGCAGCACTTTTCTAGTGCCCCAATAAAAGAGATATTCCGTATCTACTGT